TAGTGATTTAGCAGAGTCAGAATAGGCATTCAGGTCTCCTGTCCCTTCACCAAGTGGGTTTCCTATCATGTCATAGTTCCACTAAGTTCTGAATGATGAAATGAAACTAGAAAACTAGAGAAGTAAATGTGTGTTTTAAAATTTTCTCCCCTCTCTAAAGCTATGGAAGAAAGCTTATAAAATTGTTTCTGATTTCATCTAATACTCAATTTTTCCTTCTTTTGTCAAGTACCATGATCTACACAAAAGTTAAGAGAGAGCTTTTGGAAAAATGTGAAGCAAAACACCACCACATCACTTTCTATTCTTAATTTATATATTCTAACAGTCTCCTCTCTTCATTCATTGTTGGCTTTACTTTTGATTTCAAAAACCATTCGTCTTTGCCTGTGCTTTCTTATTTCAAGAGAAAAAGCAAATATGCCCCATAGTGGTAGAGGACATATTCAGCTGACTATTTCAGTATATTATTAGCATGAAAAAGCTGAAATGTGGACCAGGGTTCTTGAAACTCTTCTGAGGAAGACCAAACAAACAAAAACAAACTGATGTGATCCAATCTTGGGGGCTTAGGTTTGAGGTCCAGACTTCAGATAAAGAAGTCTGTTGGAAGAGTGGTCTTTTGTCTTTCATCTCTCTGGTCTGTGTTCATCCTACATCAGGTATTACAGTATTAGTGGACATCAGTATACCTTAACATTTCAGGCTGGGGCTTGTTCATAGCTTATGCCTCTATGTAGTCATTGAAAAGTATGTTAATGTTGATAATAGTTTGACTATCATTTAAGTTTACCTAGATGAGTTACCTCTTGAAGGTCACCATCTGGTATGGTTTGGAAAACAATGCTTTAAGTATAAGTCTTTATTGATGCCACTTGGTAAAGGCTCAGTGAACCCTATGTAATTTCTCATTTATATTGAAAGTCTAGTATTCAACTAATTGAATACATGGCTACATTAATTATTCTGTTATGGCTAATTGATATTCACAGTGATCATGTTCTATATCTTCTAAATGTAATTTACTTTACAAGTTTATGGTTCAGCCCCCTTTGATATTTCAGTTCTTTTTCTTTGTTTTATGTCAGCATATAATTTTATTAGGTTCTTGTATATTGTGCCTCATATGTAGTTCTGACAAGAAATAAAGCTCTTTTTCTACTTTTATTTGCTGATCTGCCTATGTGAACTGACAGATTTTGCCTACAACAGATTTCCATATCATTGTGAGAGATTAATCTTTCCCTGTTCATTATATGTATGTTTCAGATTGTTATGAGATTTAGAATAAAAAGAAATACAGTTATAGGGATTTCCTATTTAGACTGATTTAGAGTTGTTGCCTTTTTCAATCCTGGCTTCATTCTCTGGCTTCATAGTATCATCCCACGGAAGAGTGAGCAGGTACCTGCTTTGTTTTCTACCTTCAGCTATTAAAATTGAATACTGACATTTTGAGGAACTTTGTCTTTCAAAATGTACAACCTTTCCCATAGCAAATAACCTTGCCTTAATATGCCTTGTACTTGATGTGCAAAGTAACAATGTATTATCTCTGAGCTGATTGTGATGTCACTGGGTTCCCAGTGCCATGCTTTTTGTGCTATACCCGAGTCCCCAAAAGGGCATAGTGATGGTGAAAGGCTTGTGCTATGAAGACTTACCTAGGAAGGTACTTGGGAAGGTAAAGTTCCTATCAGCACAATATATTATCTAAAATCCTAGTTTTCTCTCATATCGACTTTATTATATCCTTTGTTGTAAAGCACCTTCAAGTTCTTTCTGAAAAGGCTAAGTAAATACATGTATACTTCATTTTTAATCTAGCTACCAACACTGAGTTAAGACATCAAAATGTTTATGTGTTGGGTTCCTTAAAACATGATTTCCTTATTTTCTTTGTTTCCATAATGATCCACTTAAGCACATTCTGTCATGTTTTCAAGCCCAATCATGTTATCCCCAAACTAGCAAGATCTGAAAATCAATCAGTGCACATTCTAGGAACAGCAAACAGGAGATGGGGAAAAACTTTTATATTTATTTTTTCCTAAGAAACGATTCTACTGTAACAATATATAATGTTATATTCCTCTTTGTTTGTATTTGTATGTTTACAATAATTTTATATTTGTTAGAGAGTTCTGTAGAGAAGTTTTATTTCCTTGCAGTTGGTTTACTGCTTTTTTCTCAAGATGAGTGTGACTCTCCATCTTCAGCAGCTATTAGCTTAGTCAATGTATTCTAGGCTTATTTAAGTTTCAGGATTCATATTGTGTGACTTTTCCTCCCAGCATCACATTAACTGTTTCAAAGCAATGTGCCGTTAAAGTGTTGTGGCCCTGTTTCTTGCTTTGTTATTCTCCCCAGTGGATCTCCAACTATTGATTCTATTTGTAGTCAAGGGGAAGATTTGTGATATTGGCCTATATTTTGGTGTTGTCAGGTCTTTGAAGGTGTCTCCCTCTTTGATCTTTAGTGTGTACATCTGACCTTTTGTCATGTTGCTTTAAAATTTTTCAAGGATTATGTCTCAGAAAGAGGGTATTTCTGTGCATCCTTTATTTAGATTGTAATCAGCTCCTCAAAGTTAAGTTTGTTGGTTGGCGTAGTGTCCTCAGTAGGCTCAAGCAATACTCATATACTTGTACTATTGAATTCTCTAAGTATTTTCTAAATAACCATAATGGAATATCCATTATGGCTTCTTTGCATTTAAAAGCAAACCTCTCTGTGTGAACAAAAGAAACATTATTTAGTTTGAGAGTTTTGACAGCCATGGTGGCTAATGTCTTACATTGAATAGGAGAGAGAACCAGGTGCCAGTACATTAAGAATTTAGTAGGTAAAGTAATTTCCATGCTGTCTGTAACTGTTCAAGTTGGTAAAACAAATTTTGGAGCTTGTTAGTATAATTACTTAATAAAATTAAATTCTACATTGTGTTACATTTTAGTCTCATAGTCAAGGATAAACATGTAATATTAATGTTTAAATGTTTTTTTCCTGATTACAGAATAACTGTTCATTATAATAGAAAACAGAATAGTCCCTCTAAGAAATATATCCCACTGTGCATATCATAACCCCTTTTAACATCTTAGCATACTTTGCACTTTTTCCCATGTCTATATAACCAGGCATTCAACCTTTACTAGAATAATTAAAAAATTATTCTATGAAAACATCAGTTTTTAATGGCTCTTAATGTTTGATCATTTGACTGGGCCAAAATTTTTATAATCAGCCTTCTATTGTCAGGCCACATCTTATTTACCCAACTTCTGTTGTTTCCACTTAGTTGTTAAATGATGCTGGTTGCATTTTCTTACGTATAAAAATTCTTCAGTACTTTTCTTAGTATTTGCTAGGATTGAATGCCTGGAAGTAAAATTGGCCACATGATATGGAGATTAATGGGAATAAAGATTTATATACACATTCATATATTTATAGTTATTTTTATAAATTGAAATATGCTTAATTTGTTTTTACTTTAGAAATTTATATAATTAAATTTATTCTTTTTGATGTACAGTTCTGTGAGTTTTGACAAATGCAAGAAATTGTATAACTACCACCACAATCAAGAAACATATTTATTCCCTTACCTCAAAAAATTCCTTACTTTTACCCCGTGACTACAAAGTATGTTTACTTTTAATTCTGAAAATGTAAAGAAGCAAAAATAAGAAAATAGAAACCATCTATTAGTCTACCACTCTACCGTAACCTCTATTGATGTTTTGTAAGATATCTTTCTGGTCTTTTTTTACATTATGTTTTAAAAATCTCCTCCCTACAAAAAAAGAGGTTATACACTGTCCTTACTGTTGATAGTCATTTTCTTTTTTTTCTTTTTTACCTAGTGTATTTTGAATATGCACGTACACACACAGACACACACACACAGACATACACACACACACACACTTAACCATTGGATTGTTTTGTTTTGTTTCTTTCTTTGCTATTCTAAGCACCCCTATAATGAATATCTTTGCATATTGCCTTAATTACTTAGGAAAAGTCCTATAGTAGAGTTTTTGGATCTCAGTGCATATGTACATTTTTAACACATTACATCTTGTGGAATTGATTTACAAAATAATTCTATCAGTTTACATTCTGACCAGCAGTGTATAGGAGAGCCTGTTTTTCTGTATCCTTACCAATATTGAGTATTGAGTATTATTATTTTATATTTTTGTCAATTTGATAGATGAATAATGGAACCTTATTATTTTAATTTGCATTCCTTGATTTGCTGTGGGATTAGATTTTTTTAATTGTTTGTAATTTTTTGTGTGTGAATTATCAGTCTTTGTTGTTTGTGTATTTTTCTTCTGTTTTTTTGAGGGGGAGTGGGAAGAGGGGAGGGATAAGGCTTATTTTTTAAGTGATTTAAATATTTAATAACATTAACTCTCACAGTTACACATGGGGACTTCTTTTCCTCTTTTTGTCATTTGCTTACTCTAGATTTTATGATGATTTTTGTTTATAGAGGCTCTCATGGTTTTTTCCTTTGCTTTATTTATGTTTTGAATATGTGTTGAATTTACAGAAGTCTTTTCTCTTTAGATTACATAGTTGTGTATATTTTTTTCATACTTAGGCTTGTCTGTCAAAATTTTTTTCTGCATTTGTTTTTTCTTTTATATTCCTAACAGACTAGTAAGGTTTTACTGTGTTGTACCAGAGAGCCGTAGATTATATACTTGCATATGAATGTATTTTTATCTAATCTTAATATTGTATTTGTTTTTGTATATTTATATGCTTTCAAGCAGCACGAACTTTTTGCTGAAATCTCTTCAAACTGTTACAGCACAGTGATATTTAAATGTGTTCCAAGTTAAGCATCTCCTCTTACTTTTTCCCCATTGCCTTCTTAGGTTTGCATTTTAGTTATTATCCATCAGATTTCTCTGTGACATTAAGAAAAAACAGTACTTACGTTGTTAAATAACTGTTTCTTTGTTGTTAACATGCTGCAGGATATTGAAGACAAAGTAAGTAGCAAAACAGCAACCTACAAATGTGCAAATGGGTTCACGTAAACTGAGCACATAGTTGAGTGAACAGTCACTCAGACATGCACCGAGACAGACAGCACTTGATCACTGTGCAGAACAATGTGGCACATGGTACAAGGATGGGGATGCCAAAATATAAACTTACTTTATTTCTTATAAGTATTGAGGCATGTTTTCAGCCTTTACTGAACAAAAAATATGTTATAAAGATGAAGGTCGATTAAACACAATATTCAAGATACAATAGTTTAAGAAATGCAGTCTTTGCTAATCTTGAAAAACATCCGTAAGTAACCATGTTTATTATTATTTTTTTAAAGAATCAAAAATACTTTATTACTTGTTTTTTAATTTTTTAAAAAAAGATCTTGCAGATTAGAAGTGGAATAGCTAAAAGTTTAATTACTTTTAGTTATTTTATTATTATTTTAATTGGTTCACATAAACAGTTATAGTAGTTTTTGTTCCCCCTCTCCCAAGACAACTACTTCTTCATAAAAAGGGAAATAGAATAATACATGTATTTATATGCAGGTTTCACTGGGTAATTTAAGGGTTCTCAAACATAAGATTGAAGTACAAAATGTTATGTAAGCATTTTTTTGTTGCGTTCAAGAAGGTTATCAACAATATATCTGATGCCCAGAATAAAATCAAAGTTTTATTGTGCAAAATATTAATCCTTGAAATTAGTCTTTGAAAGAGAAGTTAAATAAGACAGTCTGTGTGCTGTATTCTGACATTTCCAAATACATTTGGACAAAGTAGGACACAGCTGTTATAAAAAAAAAAAAAAAAAAAAAAACAAACACCAATGTAGACTCATTCTTTACATTTAAATACAGCAATCATCATCTTATTAATGCTTTTCCTATGGCACAGACCTAATAGATTGCAAAAATCTTCAGCTTTGTATACTTATTTCTGATGCAATTTATGCTTGACTTTTGCTTTGCTGTTGCTGCTTTTTTTTGATATAGTATATTCCTCATTTCTTTTTTTAGGCTAAGCAGCTGGAAGAGAAAGATCGAGTGATAAAGAAGCAGGATGCATTCTACAAAGAGCAGCTGGCTAGACTGGAGGAGAGGGTATGACTATTTCTTGTTATAAATTCTCTTCTATTACCACATCTGCACCTCTTCAAAATACTTATTTAAAAATCGATAAATTAGAACTGTAACTGTTTCCCTAGTTAAAAAGTGGCCAGGTAGTTCATTCTTTCTGGGAATAACATTTCTTCTTTGATCATTTTTGGTATGGTTGTGTTATTGGTTCATTGATGCATTTTACCACTCGTGACCTCCCCCAAATATTTTTTCTTATATGTTTAGAATCTGTGTAGCCTCCAGGTCAAACAATAGAGTGCTACTCTTTACTCTCCCAAACGTTGACTAAACTTGAGTACATTCTTAGAAATGGTAGTGTTTAAAAGGATATATTGTCTTTGTGAAAACTCAGTCTTGTTGCATTTATGGCTAAGAAATGAATGTCTCTTTCCAGAGTGGTGGACAGAAGCTGAGTAGAAGGACTTTAGAACAGTTAGGAGATAGTGTTTACAGGAGCTGAGTAGTAGGACTTAAGGAGAACAGTTAGGAGGTATTATGTCTAGTCAGCACAGACCTAGAATTTGATAGATGCAAAGAGGGAATTAGGACTGAAACAAAAGAAGGCAGTGGGTTTAAGAATCAGAATTTGAGCACCTTATCAGTACCTCTGTCAAATAAAGTCAATTTGTTGCCTAGATTAATTTCATACATAGACCATAACGTTACAGACTAAGCTCTCTCTTCCTTTTGATAGAGCCCCCCTAAATTTGTTTAGAATATATTTGATAAGAAAGTAGGAAAAAATAATATGTTGTTAAATCCCACTCAGTATAGTTATTTATATGTTTAATGTGTTTACCATCTCCACATGTCACTGGACTGAGTGCTTTTGAATGTAGGGTCCATTTTCTCATTCATTCAGCAGGTATCTACTTAAGCACCTAATATATGTCAGGCCCTGATCTAGTGCCAAATATGTGTTAGTGAAGAAAATAAACTAAATGTCTGCCCTCCTAGAGCTTAAGTTCAATTTAAAAACCAGTGTATGTTTTGTATGGCAGGTCGTGGTAATTTGGGAAACAATAAAGTAGGGAAAAGGGAATCCCAGGGCTGAGGTGTAGGTATGGGGTTGGGTGGAGAGGCAAGGTCTGTCTAATGCGATGACATTTGGGAAAAGTCCTGCAGGAATAAGGAGACAAGTCAGCGCCAAAGCCCTGACGCAGGAGGCGCTTGGATTGTTTGGGAGGTCTGGAGGGCTTCTGAGTAGAAGAGCAATCTGGCTGCTAGCTTGGGCAAGAATTGAAGTAAGGAAGAAGTAGTAAGAGATTATGGCAATAATTCAGAGACAGAATGGTGATGGCTTGGTCCACGGTGCTAGCAGTGGAAGTAATGAAATCCAGTGTGGTATTTCAAAGGTAGACTCACAGTTTTAGATTTGCTGACAGTTTTGAACATGAGTGATAGAAAGAAGAGACTCAAGAAACTCTAGGTCTATGACTTATAATTAGAGAGATGGATTTTCCTTAGGAGAAGACTATTAAGATAGGAATTGGGATGTGGGTGGTGAAGAAATCAGGAATTTGATTTTGGTTATGTTAAGTGTGGGACACTTCTTATGAACAAGTAGAGATGTTGACTAGACATAAAGTGGAATGGTTTAGAGCATACGTGAGCAACTTTTTCTGTAAAGGGCCAGATAGTAATTATTTTAGATTTTTCAGACCACGTGTGATCTGTCTTACCTACTCAACATTCTGCCTCTGTAATATAAAAGCAGACAAAGCCAATATGTAAGTGAATGAATATGACAGTGTTCTAATTTATGGACACTGAAGTTTGAATTTCATATAAATTTCATGACATGAAAAATTTTTTTTTATTTTCTTTTTTCCAACCACTTATAAATGTAAAACCAAAAACAGGTGGTGGGCCTAATTTGGCTTGCTGGTTGTGGTCTGCAGAACTCTGGCTAGAGCACAGATTCTGACATCAGATGTCTGGCTTGATTTGACTTGCTGGTTGTAGTATGCAGAATTCTGGTTCAGAGTGCAGGCTCTGACATCAGATGCCTTGGATTCAGATCTTTGAACTGGCATTTACCTGCTGTGTAACTTGGAGCTTCTTGCTTAACTTCTCAGTTACCTCAGCTACAAAATGGTGATATAATAGTACTTACCGTATTAATTTGTTAAATGAGCAAATACTCACAAAGCATCTATTATAGTGTCCAACACACAGAAACAACTCAGTCCATGGTAGGCACCATTATTTTGTTTCCATGCTTTGAGTACTGTCCCTCACAAACAGTTAATAAATGTTAACTGAATAAATGAATGAGAGTAAACGTTTTTGAGATGATTTACTCAGCACCTGCTTTTTCCACCACTTAAAGATAGTTTTCTTTGCTATCAAGTTTTACTAAACAAGGTACCTTATGAATTGGCTATTAATCACTGTCATGTACAAGAAAAGGCACTGAATAATATCCACCATTTCTCATAGATCCACCGACTTTGTTGAGACAATTCAGTGATTGGTACAGGGGACTGAGAGGATTTGTTCTTGGCAGAATAGGTTTGTCTGCTCAGCAAATAAAGTATTATTTTTGGCTTAATGTAGAAAAAGTAGTAGAAGATCAGATGGATACAATATCATGAGGTAGAATCATTGTGATTAGTGTCTTATATAGGCAAAAAATATATATACAGGTGTGTATATATATTTATTTATTTCGAAGGTAAGCCTGGAAAGTAGTTACTTATGAATTTAAACTAAAAGCTGAGAAGCACCAGTGAGCTTAGAATCCTGAGATGGAATGATGGAATGATCACACTGCAAGAAGAAAAATATGTGCTGTGATAACTTGCAGAATCGTACAGCTTACTGTGAAATCCAGGTTGCTGTGGCTTAAAAGTGGATATAAGCACGTCTGTCTGTCTTATAATCAAAGGAAATTATGACATCATAAAGTAGGTACCGGGTGGTATATCATTAATGGAGAGGGGGGTGTATCAATAAGTCTTTCACAGAATCATTCCGAGGACGATCCTTGGGATAACCTTATCATCTGCCCATCAACTAGGTTAACAAGCACAGTGATTGTATACATTATCACTTTTTGATGACTCATAATCTTATTACTTGAATGAGTCATTTTCATTGGCTTGATGCAAATTTCTTTTGAGACTTTGAACCAAAGTCTACTAAGCATATGAAGCACATTCAGTTCTGTAGTACAGCTTCGTTTGCTTCGTGGGCCTATTTTAACAAATTCTTTATCAATTAGATAATTCCTGTGTGTGAATGCAGCTTTTGCCTCCTAGGTATTTATATTGGCTAGTTTGCTAAGAGTCTGAGATAATTTTTTCCTTTCACTAACTTGTGAGGAGTAATATGTGTAATTTAACTGGACAAGGATTTCACACTTCTTAGAATCAGTATTCAAAAGCAGCGACTCAATACTGAGAGAGAGGGCCAAAGCCATTTGGAAAGTTTCTGACATCCTTATTTCACAGTCAAATGCTGCTAGCTTACCAAACAGCAGTGGTGTAGACATGAAAATAAACTTTTGTCTTTTAGGAACATTAGAGGTATCACATTTAGGTGTGTGGCCTAAACGAAAGATAATTGGAGGTATTAATTCCTGGTTTTTGATGTAAGAGACTTGAAGCATATAAATTCCTGGTTGGTGATTTGATGAGAAGTCCAGAGCACCTTTCAAAGAGACGGCTCTTAAATGTTTTTAAGAAGCCTTCCCCAAATTCCTCAGGGAATTCTGCTTTTTAGTTTGTTTTCCCATCTTTATGAAGGTATAATTGACAAATAAATCCATAATGTTTTATGCCTTTCTTTATGATGATGCATTTTATTTATAATGATTGTGATTAATTATGTATGTGTGTTTATCTTGTAAACTTGAGAACAGAGCTCATTTTCTTATTTCTGCATTTTCTACACTCACCTGGTAGAAGTACAGTGAATGAATCTTCGATTTACTAGGTTTATACCATAAAGTTATGTCTAAGCAATTAGTGTATAGTTTTTAAATATACATAAAATGTTTAGTATCTTCTTCACTAATCATTTAAATTAATAACATATATATCCTATAAGAAAGTCAAGTTTAACTTTGAATATTTTGATATTATTTATAGTATCATCACTATTATATTAGCTAACAATATGATTTATTGATCATTTACATTGTGTTAAGCACTTTGCATTGATTATCTCATTTTATCTTTAGGAACAACCCTATGAGGCTGTCCACTCTATTGTTTAGGAGAAGATCCAAGGCTTAAAATAATTTGGTCAAGAATATACAGCCAACATATTATCTAGATTTGAGCCATGTTCAACACCTGAGTTTTTTTTTTTGTTTGTTTTGTTTTTTTCCTTTTTGTCTATTTTACTGACCGGTAACGGGATCGCAACCCTCGGTGTTGTGCCTGTACCGGGGACCGGCAATGGGATCGCAGCCCTCGGTGTTGCGCCCGCACCGCGCTCAGCCAGTGAGCGGGAAACTGGTCTCCACATGGGATCCGAACCCTCGGCAGGAGCGCCGCCACACTCCCAAGTGGCGCACTCTCCAGTGCGCCACCGGGCCGGCCCAACACCTGAGTTTTTAGCCACTGTCCAGTACTATCTTTAATATGTTTCAGCTCTGTACTTAAGAAGTTAAATCCTACTGATTGTAGTGTTAGTTCTTTGGGTGGTAAGTTAGCTCTTTATGGCATCTAATCAGTTCTGTAGGTCTTGATGTAATGATTTGATTAATGCTACCTCATAACCTGAAAGTGTTAAGCATTAGAAGATGCATAATTTTTTCCCCAGGATTTGGACTTCCTGGGAAAATTTGACCAAAAGGGAATAAATATGGTTTCATTACCTAGCAACTAAAGCACGATATGCCTAAGAGCTATTTTAATATCAAGTTGCTCTTTTCACTTTGAAGTTAGAAATTTGTAGTCGTTCTGGCAGTTGGAAAACTTTTTTGAGTTGTTCATTCACTCACTTGTACTTCCATAATGTTGCTATAGGAT